TCTCTCCCCCAACGCTGCCCGCACCCCTCTATAAACACAAACTCTCTCCCCCCAACGCTGCCCACACCCCTCTATAAACACAAACTCTCTCCCCCCAATGCTGCCCGCACCCCTCTATAAACACAAACTCTCTCACCCAACGCTGCCCACTCCCCTCTATAAACACCAACTCTCTCCCCCCAATGCTGCCCTGTCCCCTCTATAGATACAAATTCTCTCCCCCAACACTGACTTAAACTCTCTTTCTCTTCCCAGCTATATGTTGTGTATATTTGATGATCACTAACACAACAGTCTAATTCTCATTGGAGAACAGTGTCACAACAGCATAAAAAATAAATAAATAGAATCAGAAAAATCACCTACAGGAGTAATGACACTTGTTTTGGAAATAAATGTAACATTGATCCCCTTTAAAAATAAAATAGAAGTGCATTCCAGCTAATACAGCTAAAACGACTTCTGCGTATCGTCTGTGATCTGTGTAAGTTGGACCTGGTGATGTCACCAAAATTGATACCTTGGGTTGGAAGGCAACAAATGGTTTTGCTGGCTTTGGTTTTCTCTCCTCTGCCTCTGAGTCTTCGCTATAACTCTCAAACTCACTAGAGCTCCAGCCAGTATCTTCTGGGGCGTCTTCACACCCCTCGCGATGAATATTTTCATAGATCAGGTGGTATTCCAGCCCTGCCAGACAAAAGGAACATTACAAAGCCATACAATGAGTCTGACGGAGTCAATGAGTATAGCATGATATGACGTTACCGACAATGTACAATGGGTGTCGGAGTGCACACACAATGGCTTCCACCTCCCTACACTCACCTGCATATTGTGTATCGAAACAGACAAAATAAGGATTCATTTACACCGACTACCCCACAAAATCTGGATATCTCAGCTGTCCCATTCCATTAAACTGTGAGCTTGCAGGCCAAGCTCTCAATGCCTACTGTCTTGAAGGCTTAAACTTCATTTCAGCTCCAAACAAGCGGTTTCAAAGAGCAGATTAAGTGCACTATCCATTTAAATATAAAGTATGACGTTGTGTCACTGTTTTTTCCCTCCCTTGGGGAACACATGCATGTAACATGATCTCACCATCTTGGTTCTCATGGTCGCACGGTACGTCGTCGTAGATAATCCCGTCCTCTGTGCTGTGTGAGCTGGAAAGACGATTAGATGAGGAACCTGAAAATAAAGATGGGATCAGAACCATAAAAAAAGCTTTAATATTAACATGAATGGTGATCCCACACTTAGGAGATTGCCAGTAGAGACACCATTGACAACATTTTCAAGAGAGTCCGGACCCA